ATATTATGCTTTTGTACATGTACATGTACATGTAGAAGAAGGAACCGGGAGCGATCCGTGCCAGTGGATTTACACGTACGATTTACACGTACGATTTACACGTACATGTACATGTAAATGATAGCCCAGAGCAGGCTCGAATACGCAAGCACTGACTACGTTACTTACACTGTCTATTAGTGACAACGTGAGATGTGAGCTGCTGCTCAAATGAGCTAGAGGGTACTTAGATGTATATATGTGCATTACATATTCACACACACACACACACACACACACACGACATACTCACTTGAGAGGTACCACATACTAAATTACATATTGTATTGACGTCGAAACAAGATATTATACCAAGTCCATATTCTTCGTGTTCCGCTGCACCCACAATCTCCGCACTCCTGTCTGATATGTTCTCCCTTCTCCGTCGTGACGGCGTTTACACAGATAAAGGTCACTCGAAGTCAAACAAATAATTCCCTTTCTTTACCCATTGTGCACAATCAAGTTGGATACAAATCCATTTCATTTCTTGGTGCTGAGTCTGCTGTCTGCTTCGCACTCCCCGGATCCTTTCGCACTAATCATATCCCCAATTCATTTCGCCAGGAACTCAACACATACATTCACCTTGGGGGCACCCTGTAATAACACCTTAGGGTCTGTGGGGATTGCCTGAGTAAAATAAAAAGAATAAAAAGTACAACACAAAATAAGTATTTGGTTGCTGCTGCTCATACCACCATTGTAACGACTTTGAAAGGCAACGGTACGAAAGGCGTCGAATGTTCCTCTGGCTGCTGTGCTTCGTGTAATAGTTTTGTTCCTCCAACCATATACGTACATGTATACTTGGAGATCCTTTGTGTCTGAGTGTATATGTACATCTCTGTATTCTTGCCTTGTATCCCTACACGACATGGTAACACGGTACGAGAAACACTAGCACCCGACCACCAGCCTCGAGTTCAGCACTGCGGGATGGCTCATGGCACAGCACATGTTTCAACACCGTGTTAATGAGCATACTGTGAAATGTCCGCTGAAAGGCATCTGCATCGAGTAGCTACACTACTCTTGGCTTCAAAACAAAGACAATCCAGTGCACGCCTTCTTCTTGCACTTAACCCTCTAGGTCCATAGCTGCTCTTTCGTGGAGACGAAAAGTTAAGTTGTCATGTAATCGTTGTCTCTGTAAAGGGTCTGGACCTCTCCGAGTTGAAATCGCTATCCAAGAAGGAACGGATGACAATGTCACGCATGATGCTGTTGATAGCGGGTGTTATTTTGGTCGTGACTGCTCCAGTGATAGATGGACAGCTGTTTTATTCCTACAATCCAGAGATACAGAATGGTGGAAATATTACTGTGCAGTGGAGAAATCCGACCCGCACTGAAACTGTAGGATCCAGTGACAAAGACGAAGTCCGCCTGTACTGCCCACCCGTGAACAACAGTCTATATGATACTGCGTTCATTGACAGATGGAGCATTTTGGAGGCCTCGACTAGTCGAAATGCAGCAGGTACCACTGGTACCATTAGTGTGGGACCTATCATCAACATGAGAGATGAATGCCAGCTAATATTCTTCAGATGGCGACCTCAGATTGGATTTCATCTACCATTCACTACAGAAGTCGGTCAGAACGTTCTTGTGACGTTTCCTCACGAAGGAGCTGAACCTCTGCAAGGTCATATTGCCATGGTAAGCTGGAAAAGGAACAATACACACCTGACTTGCATTGAATATTCACTAATTGAGGGAATGGAAAAGGGAAAAGTCTGAAGAAAAAATTGGCTGTCACCACCAGGACTCAAACCAGGGGGACCTTCGCTAGGATTACATCTACCATTCACTGAAGGAAGTGGTGAGAACGTTCTTGTGAGGTTTCCTCATCAAGGATGATCTGAATCCCTGCAAGGTTATATTGCCATGGTAAGCTGGAAAAGGGGAAACATGTTCAAGGAAGGTATTGAATTTTAAAATTATTGATTTCCTGGACCATCCCGCCAGCCTTGTGTGTGATATCATAACTTCTAGATTGAATGCAAAGTCACACTGCCATGGTCAGAAAGGGACAACTACATTGTGTTGTGTTGTATTTTATTTTTGTATTGATTTATTTGATTTATTTGAATTCAGTATCTCAACAGTATAATGTGCAACTTGAGAACATCCGAATGACAATATACATCAACATAAAATGTGTGGGATATGAATGTACTGTTATAGGTGCTACAGTTAATCATTTTATCGCAAGTTGCGGGACTAAACTAATGATATTAGTTTATGCAAGTACACAAGAAATAAAAGCTGAATAACCTGTAGCTATGGTACTGAAAGACGTTCCGCGAATGTAAACACCAGCATAAAGGACCCACATGAAAGCCCGATCCCTATTTTTAATTTTTATGCATTCTATCATTTCAATGTACTGTGTGCACCACCTACACGAAACGAAAAACCAATAGGCCAGCTTCTACGGAAAAACACTCTACAATTGTGTTATGCATAAACGATTCTTGCGGACATGACTTGACAGCATGCACATGAGCGCGAGCTCCCACGTAGTCTACGTAGGGATGAACAAACATACACCCACGCGCACATTCGAATACGCATGTATATACATGCAGATAGGAATGCATGAAAACACACACACACACACACACACACACACACACACACGTACACACACACACGTACACACATACACACACACACACACGTACACACACACACACGTACACACACACACACACACACACACATGCAAACACACACACACACACACACACACACACACTAATACTACTATTGACAGCTGCCAGAAATGGCCACGCCGCTCCCCGAAGGGAGGTACTGTCAGAGAGGTTAGGGGAGAGGTAGGCTGTGCTTTGGCGCTCCAGGTCCTGTCGCCTCTGAAACTGGTGTTGATTACAGACTCGGCAATGATGTTCAAAGTGCTGGCGATCAGTCACTGTAGGGCGCTTCGGGCGGGGTCCACAGCGATGGCGCTTGAGGCCAGCAGTAGACTTGAAAGTACATCGCTAGGCGTTCGGTCGCCACAGTTGTCACTCTCTTGGCACTTATGCACTGTAAGCCCACCCTTGCTCCGGAGCCATCTACTGCAGGCAGGACACTGCACTGACCCAGGCTGTTGTGGTGCGGGGACCTGTCGGACTGCTGTGCACTTGTTTGGTAGGTGGATAAAGAAATGGAGCTTAATTCGAGGAAGTGCCTTCCAAAAGGCTTGCATGGTTCTGCCGATTTCACTGCCTTTCGAGCAGAATCTGCCAATTTTACGAGCATTATCCACCAAGGCCTTAAAGGCTGTTCATAGGTAGACAAGAGACAAGTTTTTTATTAGAATAAAAGATGAAGTAGAAACTCAGAAAGATTCAATCTGGCAACGACAGAGAAGACTCTCACAAAGATGCATGCATGCATACACAGTGCCAGTGGCGTCATACCAGAACACGCCCCTTCGAAGATAAAATTCCATGGGTGTCGACCGAACACAACAATAACTAACACAGTATCATAATGATGATTATACTCTCAATAACACACACACACACACACACACACACACACACACACACAGGCTGCTTCTTTCATCTCACCCAGAACAGAAGAAGAGATAATTATTACTATTAGCAATGTGATGAACGGCTGAGGGCTCTGCTACAGTCCGTCGAGCAGCGACCACCAAGAGAGTTCCTCCGTGGAGTAGCACATAATCTGGCGCTCAATGTTGTCGAAGAGGCGGCTACTACCGTCACTGATTGTAGTGGACTGGACATGTTATCAAGAGAGTCGTAAACCTACGACTTCCTGGTGCATCTACTTGTACTGGTGATTGTAGAATGTGTACAACTGTATGGAATTTGATGCGAACAGGCGAATTATTCCAATTTATGCGATTCGTATGCAATTTGCCTCGAATTATGTTATTATTCGATTTTGGTACAAGTAGGAATTATGCGAAAAATTATGCTAAGATTTTCCGTCAAGGCCTACTTGGATGATAGCCATTGGCGGATAATGCTCGAAAAGGTGGCAGATTCTGCTCGAAAAGCAGTAAAATTGGCAGCACCATACAAACCTTATGGCGGGCAATTCCTCGAATTCTGCTCCATTTCTTTATCCACATACCAAATATGCATGAAACTTACTTACCAGAAAAAGTACCGAATTCTGCCAATTTTTCTGCCGGCATTATCCGCATACCGTATTATCTCTAATATAAGCACGGTCCTTTATTTTTTCAATGTACCTCCGCCCCGTGCTATTAATGGAGACGTTCCTTTATTGGAGACTGTTCCATTATTATTTCAACCTCATTTCAGAGGCATGTTGCCATGCCAAATTCATGTATGACACACACATTTCAGGGGTTTTTTCGCCGGTACAGATAATGAATTTACACAGTGTGCTTATAATGGAGACTGAGCACTTTATTTTTTGAATGCCGCCCCAAGGTGTTCTATTATTGGAGACGTGCTATTATTGGAGACTGTGCTTATATTAGAGATAATACGGTATGCCTATTGGATGACGACTACGCCATAGCTCAGTGGTTAGAGCATCACTAGCACTGGCCATAAGCGAGGGTCCCTGGTTCGAGTCCTGGTGGTTACTGTCAATTTTTTCTTCAGCCTTTTCCCGTTTGCATCTTTCCTTCAAACCATGTACCAGGGAGTAGTAAAATACAGTATTTTACTACTCCCTGCTTCAAACTAATAAAAATTAATTTAATCTATGTGGAGGCAATAATTAGAGTTATGAAAAGTATGAAATCCGCAAACATTACCACGTAGCACGAGAACTCTAGATGTATCCGCTTCCAGAATCAATTTCTTCTTCCTATCATAGTTTGTTTGGAGAAGTAGCGTTTCTCCGCGCTCTTCTTCGGGAGAGCGAACAGTTTTGTTTTTTTTATCAAAATGGAGTGAAGGAGGGAATGGAGCGAGGGATGAGAGCGCACGGACGGCCAGTGTTGAGTCGCGACTGGCAGCTGTTCGGCTGGTTAGTCACCCGGAGCTCCGTCAACGCGGGCATGGAGCTGATGCGAGCGCGTGGCCGAGGTTGCGCTGACTGGTTGGCGGCGGCTAGCCGAGCTCGCCGACGTGCATGGCCTCAATAACCGAACTGCCACCCCAACACCGGCAACGCAACGGCTGCAGAATGTTGAGTTTGCCTTGTTCGTCCTGCCAATGTTTCATGCAAGTAATGTCTTTTTCCTGAACGTTCTAACCTTTTTTCCAATAATAATTGTCTGTGCATGTGAAAATGGTTTACCCATGTTGTTTAGGGTGCGTTCTTATTATTCTCTAGCTTCTAGAAGAAGAAGAAAAAGAGAAGTCAAAGAAACTGGGATTATTCAAGAACGGGTCTCGAAGAATTCGGAGATATTTTGCACATGTCAAGCAAAATGAAGCGCCAAAGGGGCTCTTGAGTGATGAATGTAGTATGCACGTGTGCATATGCGAAAAGGGAAATGCGTACACTCATGATTAACACGTGGCTTTTTGTCATAGTTCGCATGTGCTGATCCCAAACCGTGGGAATCTCCAAGTTTCAACCACCTCTGAAGCTTGGAGAGCTTGGAGAGCTTTGGAGAGCCTCCTAAAAGTCGGAGAGGATATAAGAACAGCTCTCGAACTTTTCGGAGAGTCTCCAACTTTTCTGAGAGGATTTAAGAACGCACCCTTAGTTTCGACTACGTGGTTCTCGGCTGCAGTTTATAAGTAGAATTGTACTATCATGTACAGACAGTCAGTACACTCGTGTTATGTCGCTTTGCCACTGTGTACCGTCAGCTGTCATGATTCCTGTATTCATCAAAGAACAACAACAACAACAACAACAACAACAACAACAACAACAACAACAACAACAACAGATAGTTGAAATCTCGTGTGTTTTTAGGACTGTCTGATTACATGTATAATAATAATTCCTTTTGCCTATTCTGCAGTTGCACGCGTGTGTTCACCCCATTGGCCTCGCTCGTTCCTCATTTCTTTTGTTCATTTGGCTTATGCGAAGACTAGCCAAGCTTGCTTTGTGATGTCAACGCGAACAAGCGTATAATAATAATATTATAATTATCATCAGAGGGAAACAAGAAACTAAGGCCTCGTTTACACGATAACGATTGAAAAACGTTTTTGTCAAAAACGTTTTCAAAAGAATACGCTTCCACAGATTTTGATAAGGGCGTTTACACGACAATGCTGAAAAACGTTTCAAACGAAAAACGGCCTTCAAAGTGTTTTTCAATCGTTTTCGTTCCGTTTCGTTCTCGTGTAAACGGCAAAAACGTTTTACTACTACGAGCCTTGTACTCAAAACATGCCGCGGCCAGCCTGCTCCATGCCAACTTATTGCACGTGACCATTGCGCGCCGAAAAACGCGTTGCAGTGTACACGCTTATCGTTTTCGTGTAAACAGCAAA